CGCCCCATTTGGAGTATTTCTCGCCTGTAAATTTCTTTTTTTTTTTTTTTTAATTTCTTTATCTATTATATTTATTTTATTTTATGTATATTTTACATGCATGCATGTAAGTGCACTCATGTTGTGCATTGCCCTGAGAGGTCAGAAATGGGTGTCAGATTTCCTGGAACTGGAATTACAGAACGTTGTTAGCTGCCAAGTGGGTGCTGGGACTCCACCCGGGTCCTCTGCAAGAGCAGTCAGTGCTCTTAACCACTGAGCCATCTCTCCAGCCCCAATCTCACCTGTAAATTTCTAAAGCAAAACAATATCAACACAAACCCATAAAGATTAAGTCCAAACGAATGTGAATTCTGGTATTCAAGAAAAGATTCAAACTTTGTTTGCTTTAATATCTGGGGAAGGGATCTCTTACAAACATTATAATTGAAAACTACCATTTTTCCTTTACAAAAAAGAGAAATTTCTCTGTGAGAATGAATATAAGGACCAGAATTCACAATCACCAGAAGTAGAATAAGCAGTTGATTTATCTTAGCATTTTTCCAAATCAACATTCTTAATTGAAAATTAAGTGTTTTTATTATAGTACTGATTTCATTTGAGATTTCCACAGCAACAATGAGATGCATAAAAATGATGGCATGAAAGTGTGCAGAAATATTTAACAACATGCGTTTGGTATTCTTAAAAGTGGTTTTGGGGAAAGTAAATGTATTTTAGGAGTTCTGCATATTGTAAAGTGGGATTTAGAATGGAAAGATGCTATGCTATTTTCCTTTTGTGTGAGACACACACAGGGCGCAGTTACAGACAATTACAGGAGTGCTGCTACACAGACTGGGCAGTGGTTCCTCATCCTGGCTGTGTGCTGGAATCACCTGAGGAGGAAATTTTTTCCCCCTTCTAAACACAGAATGGTTTGGTAGTAGGATCAGGTTTCAATGCAAATAAACATATTACCTATGATCACATATGGAGACACATACATATATCTACATGACTGTGTACACACATACCACACACATTTTCAAAGCTTCTAGAAAATTAAGCCAGCAGCCAAGGCTGAAAGCAACTGCCAAGACTCCTTGCTCTGCCTCCAGTCCCCTCACAGTGACATCAAACAAGCCCAGCACCTTTTGGTAGCCCTTATTCCCTATCTTTGGCAATTTAAATAATGGAAATGAAAGCTGTGGTGAAGAGTCATGGTTGCCAACATTTAATCACTCACAGTAGCTTACCCCAGGACAGGGTCAATAGGTTCTTAGCTCAGGCTCTATAATTGTCAATCCTGAGTCATGCACAATTTATACAAAGTATATGGCTCTCCTTCCAATCAACTAACATGTATATTCCAAAGAATAACCTGTCTGATCTCTGTGCAGATGAGAAGCCTGAAACTAGAGCAGGCTATGTTGTCCAGCCACTTCACCTAGGCATCCACTGATTTGGGAGAAAAATATTTGGGCTTCCTCAGTTTTATATTCCATAAAAAAGTCTTTACTGAGCTATACTCTTTAATGTTATTTCTTTGTTTAAATTCATAGTTTTTGAGACAGGGTCTTCCTATGTGTTTGTTTGCCTTCAATTGCTGTGACAAAATATTCTGACCAAAACCAACTTGGGGAAGAAAAGGTTTATTTGTCTTACATCTCCCAAGTCATAGTTCACCACTGAGGGAGCCCAACATAGAACTCAGGGCAGGAACCTGGAGCAAGAGCTGAAGCACAGGCCATGGAGGAACATTGCTTACTGGTTTGCTCTCCTGGTCCCTGCTCAACCTGCTTTCTTACACAACATAGGCCCACCCGCCCAGGGTTGGCACCACCCACAGTGCGCTGGGCCCTCCTACATCACTCAATAATCAAGAAGATGCCCCACAGACATGGTTATAGGCCAGTCCAATGGAGACAATTTACCAGTTGAGTCTCCCTCTACCCAGGTGTGTCAAGTTAACAACTAAAGCTATCCAGCATAAATGACCCCCTGTCAACTTGACACACAAACACATCACTATTAAACCACAACCTTCCCATTTTTTGTCTCAAGATATGATGTTAACAATATCACAACCTTAAAAATCCCACAGTCGGTAAAAAATATAAACACTTAAAAGTCCATAGTTTCGTTTAAAAGTCTCTTAACCATAGGCTCCTGTAAAATCCAAAATAAGTACTGTCTTATTTCAAAAGGGAAGAATTGGGCACCTAACCTAAGTCTAGCAAAGTAGCTCAAGGCTGGACATCTGGGATTCACTCACGATCTTCTAGGTGCCAAAGGTTTTGGCAGCTCCACTTCTCTGACTCTGCCTTCCACAGCACACATAGCTTGTCTCGAAGACTCAGGCCAGCTCCATTTCACACATACTTGGTGGTGCAAAGCCTCAGATTCTCTCCATGACCCCTTCAATCCTGGGGTCTTCGCTGCAACTGAGGCTGTACTTTCACTAACGGCCTTTCCTGGCCTCTCAGAGTGCCAAGCCTTAGCTGCTTTCTGTGACCCCCTTCATGCTTTCAACACCAGAACCATGCAGGAGACTCTTACACATTACCAAGTCCGGCTTCCAGCTTGAGATGGAGGCTTGGGCCCCCTCTGGACCATAGCTTCTGTGCTGACCCTGAGGAAATACTTCCCAGATGATTTTGCCACAGTGATGCTGGTCTCCTGTTCTTACAGCTGATATTTAAGCCCCAGCTAATCAGCATCAACTGTCTCAGTAAAACCAAGGTTTCACTTCAGTGGTTCTGGTCTCTTAGTCACAGCTGATTCTTCAGCCCCACCTGACTAGAACCCACAGATTCTCCATTCAAGATACCACACAAACAGCCCTGATAGTCTCCACTTCCCTTTGAAGCCTCACAAGCCAGGCCTCCATCGTCCACAACTCTTTCAGCATAACTGATCCAAGCTCCACAGCAACGAACTCTCAGCACTCAATGGCTTTTCCAGCCCAGAGCTCCAAATGCTCCCATAATCCTCCCCAAAACACCAAGGACAGATCTGTCACAGCAATACCCCACTCTCTGGTACCAATTTCTGTTCTAGTTTACTTTCAATTGCTGACAAAACACTCTGACCAATACCAACTTGGGGAGGAAAAGGTTTATTTGGTTTATATTTCCCAGGTCGCAGTTCATCACTGAGGGAGCCCAAGGTAGGAACTCAGGGCAGGAACTTGGAGGCAGGAGATGAAGCAAACTATGGAAGAATCCTCTTACTGCCTCGCTCTCCTGGCCCCTGCTCAACCTGCTTTCCTTTTCTTTTTAACTTTTAAAAAAAAATTTTATCTATTATTATCTTATGTGTATGCATACGGTGCCTGCATGTAAGTAAGTACACCTGTGTCATGCAATCCCCATGGAGGTCAGAAGAGGCTGTCAGATCCCCTGGAACTGGAGTTACAGACAGTTGTTAGCTGCCATGTGGGTGCTGGGATTCAAACCCTGGTCTTCTGCAAGCACAACCAGTGTTCTTAACCTCTGAGCCATCTCTCCAGCCCCTCAACGTGCTTTCTTATACAATATAGGCCTACCTGCCCAGGGGTGGCACCACACACAATGGGTCGGACCTTCTTACATCACTCAATAATCAAGAAGATGCCCCACAGACATGGCCACAGGCCAGTCCAATGGAGGCAATTCCCCAACTGAGGCTTCCTCTACCCAGACATGTCAAGTTGACAACTAAAGCTATCTAGCACACTATGTAAGCCAAGCTGGCCTCAAACTCTCTGTGTAACCCAGACTGACCTCAAAATTTCTAGGTAGCCCAGGCTGGCCTCAAACTCTCAATTCTTCTGCCCCAGACTCCTGAATGCTGAAATTATAGGTATGCCCCATCACATCTATGTTTTTATCATAAAACATTGTATAAAGAATTTTCTATATATGTTATAAAACTATTAAACACACTGCCTGGGCTACATACCAAGACTCTGTGCCAAAGAACCAAATATTAATAAATAAAAAATTCTAAATATACTGCCTGTTTAATATCACCTATGGACATACATGATTGATGTCACAAAAATGAATTCCAAGAAAAAGCTGTTCTTTGTCAACTATTATTTCCCTTTTATTTATTTTAAGGACACACAATAAGAATTTTATAATCTCCACATTACCTTTTTGCTTTGTTGTCAAGATGCTAAAAACCAAAATGTATTAAAGTACAGTAAATACAATTATCTAAAGCTTTAGTAGAATTATTTCCTCATTTCTATATAATAACTTTATTATATGCTGAGTATAATTAACAAATAATAAAAGGAGAATACAGCTGAGTTTGCTCACAAACAAATACTAAATAAAGTGACCCCAGCACTGGCTTTACAAACAGACTATTTTACCATCTAAGAGAAACTCTGACAGAATAAAGGGCATTTATCCTTCCCAGGGTTTCTGTCTAACTCTTGGCTCTTTCCTACCTGACTCTCCCAATGCCGACAATTTCAATTAACAATGATTCTTCTTTCAGGGAAAAATAAAAGGAAAATAAGCAGTTTTTAATTCCAGGGAAACATGTTCATTCTAAGTAAACAGGGTTACTATTAATCAGAGACTCATTAGAGTTCACATGTCATCTGTTGTGCCTTAAATCACCAGCATGTGGAAAAAGCAGGTGACACGGAGCAGGCATTCAACAAGCACCTGAATGAGAGAATGTACATCCCTGTACACTGCCTCGTAGCTTAGGATACGCAATAAAACACAAAAGAAGTTTGATATTGTTGCTGTAAGTCCTTTCTGCCTCCTCTCACTGAGGCACTGTCAAGAATCATGAAGAAAATTATGAAAAAGGCCAGATGTCACTACAATCAATACAACATAATTTTGTGAATCCTCTTATTTTAGTCAACAATTTGAGAGCCTAAGGTCATTTATGCTTTACATAAACTCAAGAAAAATCAAAGCCTTAAGTTTTCTGACAATACAAATGTTAAATTAAACCTAAATAAAATATTATGAATTTTAATGTTTATAAAATTTTAAAAAACCTACCTTCTCTTTTAGAAATCGGAAGAGAATCCAAGGTACTATGCATAGAACATAGACCACTACTGTATGCTGGTTACATAAGCTGAGGCCACAACAGAAAGCACCAATGTGCGCTATCTGAAAATAAAAAAAGGAAAACTAAGTTAAACAATCACTTAAGGGGCTGGAGAGACAACTCAGCAGTTAGGAACAATTGCTGTTCTTCCAGAGGACCCAGGTTTGGTTTCCAGAACACACATGGCAGCTAACAACTATCCCAAACTCCAGTTCCTGGGGATCTGACACCCTCTTCTGGCCTCTGTAGGGCAATGTACACACATGGTACACTTACATACATGCAGGCAAAACACTTAAAAAATAATAATAAATAAAATGTTTTTAAAATTCACTTAAAACTCTAAGCAAACACAATGGATAATGATCTACAAACTAGGCATCTTCATGCCCGGCTAGGTTAGAGCCAACCCCTGAGGATGCAGTATTGACCACCATTAGTTTTGGGCATTTTTTTTCCCCCCATTTTCATCAAACACCTGCAGTCTGACCTTAAATGACTGTCTTTAGACCTATTCTTAGAAAGTTCCTTATGGTAACTTAAGTCCTTAATAGTAAGAGGGGACTGCATATTTCTTAATTAAAATCTGTACCTGAGATTCAACAATTCTCTTTTACATTTTCTCTTACTAAATAAATAATCCATGTTGGCAACTCCTTTGGTTTTTGATTTCTTATCCTATCCCCCCTCCCCCACAAACTGTAGTATTGTACATATATTTTTATGTAACCTGCTTCAAGTTAGTTTTGGAAAGGGTAGGGTCTAAGCCCTTAGTGGTCTGGTTCTTCACACTGTAGATGGCTGGTAATAATGGGCTGCCTTGATTTACTGCAGTCCCTTTTCAACTACTTTGTTTTTACAATTGATAGTCTTCTTCTGGTTAAAAATTATTTACAAGTTTGATCTTTTCTGTAATTAAGAAGCAATCAATGTACCACCATTGTGTATGATTTAAGGAGGTCAATCCAGAGCTTGGTCTCATGATAACACACAAAAACAAGTGGCAAAATGTGAATCAACAAGTCCGTCTTTCCCCAGGGCTCACTAGAGATTTCAAAACCCCCATTCTCCAAAAAACTTCTGAGCTCTGGGGATGAAGAGTATCATGTTTGAGGACTATGGTGGTTCCATTCATAACAAAAGGAACAAAGACCACCTCTCCACATGCCCGGATTTTGACAGTAATCAAAACAGATAAAAGCTGCCTAAATCAAAGATAAAAATAAATACTGTCTGTCTAAAAATTAAAACAAAAAATGATTTCACTTTGATCAAAATAGGTTACCTTTGATCTCTCCTTTGCGGTTGCTGCCTCCTCAAAATGTACAGTAAGCGCCATGAGCAGCCCCACAAACAGATTGTTTAAGCTAAAAACCTCAGCTGCAATGGACCACTGCCATGTTAGACGAGAAAATGAAAACACCCCCGCAGCAAGGATTCCTCCAGCATGTGAGCCAGAAAGCCTGCAAACACAGATAACATGAAATCTTCCTTCCCAACAAAAAGAACTGACTTGATTTTCCTTTTAGAAACTCTAGCAGCAGAAATTAGAACAATCACCCTCTCCCAACACATTATGACTAATACATCCCTTCATGTAATAATTGCAATAGATTCTAATTAGGAAGCCCACAATGTTAAATGCATCAACAAGCCTACGGATAGAACGGGGTTTAGTGCTCGGATGAAACTCTAGGACTTGAACCAGTTCAGGAAACTAGAAGAGATGGCAGCTACAGATAAATCTGTACATTTTCTTGAACATTCCCAAAGAAGGAAGATGGCTTAGTTGAGATGGAAATATGTTTAACTGTAAAAATTAATGAAATGGTAAAGTATCTGTTTAGGAACATTCAATTATCACATCTCATGAAATGTTGGATCCAGGTACCTGCCACCTGTATCTCCCACAGTCAAACCAAAGAGGTCTTGGTCAAAGTATTTGATGATGTTAAGATCTTGTACAGTTGTATTCTCAGTTTCTAATGATTTTCTGCTTTAGACAAAGTTGAAGATAAATGATATTTTTCTAAAAAGGGGATGGGAATGGGACTTTCGACAATATCTAAAGGGAATGGGAATTTCGACAATACCTAAAGAATTACAGATTGTACTTGGAAACAAATTGCTCACTCTAAATGCCAACAAGAGCCACACATTTAGAATCCATCAGGAATTGGCATCTCAATTCCCAGATGGGATATGCCATTGGTAACATGGCTGAACATACTAGAGCATATCTAACCTACACAATTCCTACCTTGCTATAAATCTATAACTACAAAGTTAATGTAATGACTGAATAGTTCCAGTGCTAGGAAATTTGGTATGCATTATCAGGCCTAGTGATTGTGATACGAACTGGCTCCAGACCTTAGTTGTTACCTATTTTGTTTTGTACAGAAATTATGAAGTAGTTCTCATGAATTCGATCAACCATTATAGGAAATCAGAGTTCAATAAAAATTTCAATATCACAAGGGGCTGGGGCTAGGGATTTAGCTCAGTAGTGGAACACACGTTGAGCATGCACAAAGTCCTAAGTTTGATACCCAGCACCAAAAATATATAAAATTCACTATCACCAAATGTATTTTTAAATTTCTATTTGCAATTTATTTGTTCTTTCTCTTATAAAAAGCAGCCACTTCCTATTTCTTTCAGAATTTTCCAATTTCCCAGAGATCCTGATTCAATACAATTCACTTCTTCCTTTCCAATGGTTTTCCTACCTCTTCACTCCTTTGGGATCATTCCCACTGCCTCAGACTCCAATTAACTCGTCATCTGTTTTCCAATCTATTCTGCAACATATTATATTAAATTTCCTAAAACATACTCTTTATGACTACCCAACTCTCAAGCTTGAGGACTCAGCCTGTAGGCTAAGTTCAATCAGTCAGCCTGGAATCTAAGCTTCCAATGAACAGGATTTCATCCACTCACTAATACCATGACTATTATCTTCTCCAAATAGTCTCTGAACATTTTTAGCGCTGAATTGTTTGCATTGCCTTGACATTGATCTGGAAAACTGAATATACCTCATTTATTTAGAAGCAAGTAGCTCCAAGCACACAAAGGTAAGAGTGAATTAGCCTTTAAGTATTTCTGAGTTTTGTTTCATTTGGAGATAGGATTTCATTAGCCCAAGCTAACCTTGATCTCATCACGATACTCTTGCCTCAATCTCTTGACTTGACTCTAGGTTTGTACCACCCACCTTGGCTTTATTTCTAACCTATCTTTTCTTTTTTAAAAAAATGCATTTATTTTTATGTGTATGAGCATTTCACCTGCATGTATATAAGTGTACCAGGTGTGTGCCTGGCACCCATAGGAGGCCAGAAGAGGGCATCGGATCCCCTGGAATTGGAGATATGGATGGCTCCTAGTTAGGTGCATTCGCTTTTATTAAAGATTAATTCCACACCAACGAAACCCGAATGCCTCCCAAGCCCAGGTCAGGATGGCCTTGCAATAAACAATACATCCTTAATTTTCCTCAGTGTTAGAGAAATAATGTATGAAGCTGCAGAGTAAAGTTAGAAAAGAGAAGATAGGTACTCAGCATAAGAACAATGATGGGAATGAAATCTATATTCTCAATCGCTAACAACCAAAGAACTTGCTCAGAATGTAAACTAAGTTTATGGGATTTGGGTTTGTAGTTCTAAAGCCAGTCAAAGACAAAAAGGTAATGGGCCTTTTAATTTGTTTTTCAACAGCAGAATATAAGGGGCTGGTTTCACTACACCCCAGTGAGCCCCTCTCATCCAATGTAATTCTAGCCAGTCTAGTAGGTGTGAAATGCTATCTTGTTAAGGTTTTGATTTGCATATCCCTAATGGCTAATGATGCCAAGCATCTTTTTCTGTGTTTACCTGCCATTTGTATACTTTTACACACCATACCACCTTACTGACCCTGTTTAATTCTTAGAGTGGATTATTTATTTTTTGTTTTTGTTTTTTTACTTCTTTTTTAATACATTCCTACTAAACACAGTCAATCAATTGCTTGCAACCTAGAATTCTTACAAAACACCACATCTCCTTCTGTATTACAATTACTATTATGTGAGGAAATTCTGAGAGTAAATGCCCAAATGCTCTTAGTCTTGTGGATGGCAGAGGAGAGGGAGTATGCTTCTGAGGGCAGGAAGCTGTATGTGCATCCGTAGAATGGTTAGATTCCATTCTCTCTTCAGACAGACTCTCATGTGGCCCAGGCTGGCACTGAACTTATGATCCTACTTTCCCAAGTGTTGGTACTGCAAATGTGTGTAACCACACCTGGCTTTTAAATTCTCTTTAACTATCGTTATACTTATCTCAACATAGAACACGCAAGGCATGATATCACAGGCCAGCAGTTCTAGCACTCCAGGAGCAGAGGCCAGAGTCATGAGTTAAGAGGCTAGCTGGGCTCCATAGTTAGTTTTGGCCAGTCCAGGCTTCAGAACAGTCTCAAAAAAACCAAATGTGGAAAGGGGCAGAATGTGAAACATTTTGGAGGCTCTATCACTGACTATTAATATTTTTCATAAAATAATCTATGTAGGCTATACTTACATGCGTGTCCCATTTCAACAGCATATTACAAATCAAACTCTGAATTTCCCTTAAAATGCACATATTTTAACATACTGCCTATAAAAGTTAGCTTTATAAAATTTAATTCCAACACTCAGGAGGCAGAGGTAGGTGGATCTCCATAAGACTGAGGACAGCTTGGTCTATACAGTAAGTTCTAAGCCAGCTGGGATTACAGGGAGACCTTGTCTCAAAACAAACAGAAAAACCCGGAACAAACAAAAGTTAGCTTTATGCTAAGATTCAGAATCTTAGTGACTGCATAAAGTTGCAACACGTATGAATTAGAATTCCTCCCCTTCCTCCCCTTCCCCTCCTCTTCCACCTCTTCTTCTTCAGTGCTGGGGATTGAACCATGCTAGGCAAATGCTTGAGCTACATCCCCAGCCAAACATAAGGCTTTGTGGGCAGCAATAAATGCTCAGCAGCATTTGGAGACTGCAGCACCTTCCTTTATGAGTGGCAGCATTGTCCACATCACTGCAGAAAGATCTACAGCAGAAAAATAAGGACAGAGTTCAAATAGCAAAGTGGAGTGGTGAATAGGGGAGGAGATACAAACAGTAGCCAGGTGATGGAAGAGATAAAATTAAGAGCAAAAGGTAGAGGGTTCAGGTAAACTGAGGACATTGTGGGGCATCAGAGAAATGAGTCAACTGAAAGCTAAAGTACGCCAGAGAGTAAAAAGTGTGTTTGGGAAGGGGAGATCAAATGGTTAGAGGCTGGAGTTACGCAAAACTAGACTGTTGCTGAAAGCAACTCATGACAGGAAAAGTCTAATAAAGCTGTTCTCAGATTCCTAAGATCTCTAATAAAATTAAGTATTTGTCTTTAAGCCAAGTGGTGGTTGGCACACTACTATGCCAATGCAGGCTGAGTGCACTGCAGGGACACGAGTTTGCAACACAGATCCAAGGTTTACATGGATACTAAGAGATGGGATCTCTGTTCCATCTAGAACACAGCATGCAGAGTCTGAGATTTCTGCTGGCTAGAAAATTTGTAATGGTAGGGATGAAGATTTTCTACAGGCTTGGCAATCTTCAATTCCTTCACTGCTTCTGTAGGGAAACAGTCTTGGTATACTGCTCAAGTTCTATTTCTTCAGCATTTCCTAACATGCTTCATTTCACCACAATGCAACTGAGATAAATGTCCACAAAGCGATTTGACCTCAGGATGAGTTCAGGAAGCCAGATCAGGGCTGTGGCCGGCTCAGTATTAGCCTCACCTTGTCCACATCTGCAGCCTCTACCTTTCTGTCTTTTCTCACCCTATTACTGTGTTGCTCCCACTTAGGTCCCCCAGTGACAAGAGGCCGATATCTGCTGTGTAGTCCACTGCTGGTGATAGCTCTTCCAGGGTTGTCTAGGATCCCATAATCCCCTGCTCTCCCTTACATAGTTGTGGATCTTCCTTTTCTGTTTTCTCTGCATGTTTCCATTTTTTTCACTAATTCTTTTTTTTTTTTTTGAAACAGGGTCTCCCTGTAGCCCCAGCTGTCCTGGAACTCACTATGTAGACCAGGCTGGCCTCGAACTCACAAGGCATGCACCACCACACCCGGCCCTATTCACTAATTTGTTTAATGCTAATATTTGCCAAGAGTCCACCCTCCTCATGGAGGCTCAGGTAATTCCTCTTCTCATTCTCCATACTTTGACTAACTTTATCCACTTCCGTGGTTTCAGCTGACAACTACACACTCAGAAGAGGATGTTTCCTTAGTTTTAAACTTATGTATCTCCAACTGGCTACCATGTTACTTCAAATCTGATATCCCACAGAACCTCAGTGTCAACAAGAACAAAACGAGCCTCTCATCCTCTCTGCTAACCATGACTCCTGCTATTTTATTATCTAGGTCA